CCCCAATGTTTCACCTTGTATACTTTATCCCACATTGCCATTACTGTTAAGGGGCCTGTGGACCTCTCCCATTGGTTACCTCTTTCCCTTACTATTCCTCATTTTCACCTAAACTGATGGCATTGACTCTTGTTTTGCTAAAGCTCTTTGACAGCATACTCAGTCAAATGTGGCCTTGATGTCAAAGGCAATGCCTCTCACCTCAAATCAGGAATTCAGCTTGCGAGTGGCTTCTGCTGCTGATGATGCTCAGGTAAGAACAGGATCCAGCTTGGTTGTGAGGCTATCATGGTTAAACAGTCTCCCAAAACATATCATCAGAGTCCAGTCACTGAGTGTGGGACAGTCCATGCCTGTTACTGAACGATGCCAAGAAATACTCATTGTATAGTGGTGTTGGACGTCACCCAAAGTAACTCCAATTGAGGGTAATATTTTTGGACTGGGAGAGTTATGTTCTTTTGTTGGACTGTTGTACATGTTCTGCATTAAAGTGCATCACCTCAATTGAAGTGTCTTCTGTTGCAGATGGTTCCGTCCAGGGAATCCTATTCGAAATGACCTAAAGATCCTCCTGCAAGCTGGCTCATTACCTATGTAACTTGTTGATGGTAACCACGGCAACACAGTCCTTTTACCGCTCTCCCCCCCCCCCCCCCCGGAAGGGACGCAACTAGTATCACGTGATGTCCAGGACCACGTGATCGGGCCCCCTTCAGCGCCCGATCCGGCTTCAGTTGGTCATGTGACGGGTGCCGTGCGACCTCCGTCGGTTGGGCGCCGGCCCGGTTGAGGAGGGCCGTGTTTACCGGTGTGCGGAGCTCTTGGCGCATGCCGTGTCCGCCAGCAATAATCACTCACAACGTTGTGAATGAAGTAACCGCTCGTCAACATCGACCGGAGCCCGATTGCGTCCAACGTGTTAACGGGAAAGGGTTAGACAGAGGGAGGGGAGGTGAGGAACGTGACCCGGAAGCGATTCTGCCGGAAGTGGCTCTGTCTAATCAGCTGATGGTGATGGTGAAGAGGTGGCTGTTATTGTTCGGGGGTTGAGAAGAAGCCAACAGCCCCTAGACGTGGAAAAGATCGCCTTCCGCAACCCCCCCCCCCCCCCCCCTTGCGACAGCTTTCCCACCGGGGGCACAGTGACACCCGGTTCCTTCTCCCCGGCACAGATCGGCACCCGACCCTTTATACCCGGGAGGCAGCAGCTCCAGGGCTTCTGTACCCGGGACAGAGTGGACCCCGGGTCCCTATCCCCGGGGCACAGCCAAAGCCGGCTCCTCCTCCTCCAGCAGCAGGACAGCCGGGCCTGGATCCACCCGCCCCCTCGCCTACAGCCGAGCCAATGCTCGATCTGGAAGTGGTGCCCGAGCGGTCTCTGGGGAACGAACGATGGGAATTCGCTTTAGGTATATATAATCTAATGTACACTCTGTGCGTCGGATGATTGTTTTGTCCCGGTTTTGTCTCCCCTAGCAAGAAGGGGGAAAGGTGCAAGACGAGGGGATATCATCTCGGTGTATCATATGGAGAGGAGGGGTCGTATTGTTCCTGTGAGGTATACAGAGAGAGATTGTTTATGTGATGGAGGAGGGAGTAATACTGTTCCTGTGGGGTTAGATGGCTGCTCTAATTCCTTTTAAAGAATCTGGAGAGATTGTCCCTGCGAGGTATGACGAGTTTTCAATTGACGTCGGTTATTTGGATGCTAGTGTATATTTTAAAATTAACTTCATTATTCTATCGTAGCGCAGCACCTGCTTCCCCCCCCCCTTCTAGATTTAAGATGTAAATCTATTCTTCTAGAAGATCTTAGGATAAGACAGCATCTTCTTGGGTAGCACTTCATCAACTATAGGGGACTATTCCGTGCATTTGACAAATCTTAGAAAATGGCCAGGTGCAGATTCCTCATTCAGACCATTGCATCTTGTTGTCTGAGGCAGTTATATCTGACTATTTGTTGGACTGGCTAAAAGCTATGCCATGTAAAGAGAAATGTCCATGTTCTGTTAATTTACCAACTGCTAATTGATATCTGTTAAGTACTTTTAATTATTGTAATTGTCATAGGATGATCTTGACTTATTGCTGTTTTGTTGTCTGACTTGGCATCCTGAAGGTGGAATTTAGTGTAATTCACTACTTCTAATCAGGAGCGCATGTAATCATATATATATAATGATGTCTTCTGTTGGCCTCTGTGCTATTAGCTGCTGGCCAATTTCTATTAGAAATCCATTTGTTCTTTGGAAATTAAATGGAGTGTCTCTTGGAGAACTGGAATGCTTGATCAGATAATTATATCATGATTTAAATCAGAGGAGGTGAGCAAAACGGTGAAGTGGTGCCCGAACAGTATCTGGGGAACAGTACAACTGAGCTCAGTGGTTTCAAGAACAGCTGCTATGGCAAGTATTATCATGCTCTCCCAGGGCCCATTTTGGGCCATAACAGTGCATGGTTAGCTAAGTGAGAGTTTTGGTGGATTCTAGGATTACCTCATTGCAGATCAGTGTAAAGAAGGCTGTTTTTAGATGTTATTCTGGGCTCCTGACTCTCCAAGTCCCATTTACCTATTATCTCTCACCAAACCTACATTGGCTGCCAGTCTGGTTGCA